TAAATAGTCGTATCCTATAAAAATTCTTTTTGAAGAAACTTTTCACTCATAAAATTTCCTTCTGCTCCTGTATCGATGAGGGCTTCTACTGGTACATCGCCAACCAGGACTTGTATAATTGGTAGCTGTGAGTTTTTTACGATGACCGTGTTTAAATGTCTATTTGAGGGTTTTTTTAAAACTTCCGGGGTCTGGACCCTCCCTTTCACAGGCCCCTCTAGTCGTTTAAAGCTTTCCTTTCAATCTGTGTCTTCTGGGTACGCGGATGCTTATTTTCAAATTTTCTTTTTGGGCCTTGACCTTCGAGTTTCGATGCGTTAGCTTGATAGTTCTTTCCCCCATAAGAGCGATTTCCATTTCTGGTTTCCTCCTTCCTTTCCTCCTTCCTTCGGGTACTTTGAGAATATGTTTCCCCTCTCCTCTCGCTTTTTCCGCTATTCTGCGATTTTGAAACTTGAAACTTCACCGCCAATTCGAAAAGTTCCTGCAATGTGCTTGGGTTTCTAATTTCAAAGTAGTCTTGGACAGCGGGTAACAATCTTGGTAATATTATTTCAATAATCTCTCCGCATCGGGTTTCTTTCCATACAGCATATCCGTTAGCTTGATTTTTCGTAGAATAAAGTCCGTCAATTCTGCTGTATCCCGTTGATAGAAACTATATAGTTCGGCTTCCAGCCGTGCGCGATCTTTCACTATGGGGAAGGCCTTTACTAACGATTTTTTGAAATTTTCAAATGTATATGTCTGGCTTCCAAATTCCCCTAATAAAAATTTGCCTATATTTTTCCACCATAGCGCGGCCTGTCCTCTTAGTGCTGATGTGGCGATGGCAACTTTTTGTCTTTCAGGCACAGGGTAGAGCTGAAAGTGGTTTTCTAGACCTTCGAGAAATACCGCCACCGAATTTTTTCCGTCGAAATGGACGTTTGGCTTGATTGATGCTCTCAAAGTCTGGACCAGGTATCCAAATCCTTCTAACTGAGTTGTCATTTCTTGGTGTTGTCCAGCGGCTTCCATCCAATTTTCGGCCATTTCAGTTCGATAATTGTTCGGGCGCCAATATAACGTTGCGCGCCTCCAACTTGCACGCAACCAAGAGGTGACTGTGAAAACTTGTATAAAAGACAGAGCCTTGTGAAGGGTTTAAGTCCCTTTTTATTCAACGTAATAAATTACAATTGCGTGCTCTTGACGCTTCACAGACTGTGCCAACTTGGCAGTCAAATAAAAAAAATAATAACCTGAAAAGAAAGTAAAGACAAGATTCTAACTACGAGGCTCTCTAAAATAACTAACTCACCGCGTTTTACAATACCGCTGCTAATTCAGCAGACTTGAAGCTCACTGGAACGATTACCACTACTTCCCGCCAAGCACATAGGCCGCAACGCGGGGTTCTTCAATTCTCGCTAACTACCTCCGCCTCCGCGCTCGTGCAGTAAGAATATCACACACCGAACTCGTTTCCTTCTATTTAAATCAGAATACTTCCGCTGATAATTTGAATCCTTGCGCGTTCTACTAAAATTTACATATTCTGGCATTGGCAGTTCCAGGGGAAAGTAAGGCTTGACAGGAAAGATAGTTTAAACTTAAAATAAATATTAGTTAAAATAAATATAAACCCTACAATACTATTAGTGACTATTATGGCATCTATGTACACAAATGTTTATCTGCCTAGTATGAACATTAAAATTATGTCCATGCCCCCCTAGAACTTAACAGGAACATCGCACAATTAAAGTGGCAGTCTTAGAAACGCATACACACCCGATTTGATGATACATGTTGTTTCCGGCGTGTCCTCAAGCTTCATGCCTTCCTGAAAGTAAGGACCGGATAAAGGGCGATTGGAGCGATTGGCCCCAATCGCGCTCCGCATTTGAAAGGGCCCCGCGTTACCATCAAAATGACATAAAAATTTCAAAATGAACATAAAAAGTTCAAAAACATAAAAATTTCCAAAAGTGTCCACAATTTTGGCCACCACTGTAATTATTAGAGTCGTATTTTGTGACTACAATTACTAATTGTTGAATAAGGTAAGTATATTACATAATCTTTATTAACAAACAATTATTTTTAAAATAAAAATTTAAGTATATTATGTGATTAAAAATGGACACCTAACCTATAATTTTATCATTAGATGAAAGAAGCTGATATAGACGGAAAAATGTTAGTTGAAGAAATGGAAGCTTTGAAATCTATTTTTCCTTTAGAATTTTTTGAAAATCCGTTTAAAAATGTTCAAATTTTTATCGGATAATGAGAGAGTAACGGTATTTCCAAACTTGTTTATTGCTCTCCGAATATTCTTAACAATTTCAGTTGCTTCTGGAGAGAGATCATTTTACAGGCTAAAATTAATAAAAAAACTATCTGAGATCGACAATGAATCAGGATAGATTAAATAGTTTAGCAGTTATGTCGATTGAAAGTGAAGACGCAAGAAAATTATATTTTCAAACAATTTTAGAAGAATTTACAGAACAAAAATTTACAAATATGTAAATTCATGTATTCATATTCGGTGATGTAAATTTATATTCAGTAAAAGATTTTGTATTTTGAACATTTTTTAAAATTTATGTAGAAGCTTACCTGTATGATGATCCATGACATTTGATATATTTATATATATATTGAATTTGAATTTTATTTAAATATTTAATATATAAAGAGGGCCCCACAAAAAAAAATCCAATCGGGTCCCGCACCTATTCGATCCGGGCCTGCTGAAAGTGTCCAAACGTTAAGTCACGAGTTGCCATATATTTAATGGATCTAATTTTTCAAATACTTGCATCATTTATAAGTAGGGGATATATTGCAAATTTTGTTATTCTGTTTAGTTTTCCATAATCGATCTCGAAATGAAGCGATTTTTAATATGTAGATCGTAAATTATTATTCTTTCGATACGAATCGCTGAGTCAAATTTTTCTTAAGTATCTCTTTGGCATCATCCTACACTATTTCCTCCCTAACCCAATCACATATGTAGTGTTTTGCTCTAGCATGAGGTTTATTCCCTGCATCTAACTTACCTGTAGTCTTTTAGAGAGCGAAAACTCAATTTAACGCATGCGTTATATCGTCAGTCGCCGCTCATTGACACTATATTTTCTTTCGAACAGCGTCAATCACCAAAGACAAACAATGTACTTACCATTTGGATCTTATCAGTCCATAAGATTAACAGTGTAATTTTCATTCAAGCCCAGTCGGTCATTTTTGCCGACGATATAAAATTTAAAACATTATATTCATCTTTCAAATCTAAATGCTATAAAATAACAGATCTCCTTTCTCCAGTATATAAGAGAAATCAGGTATCGCGGGCTAAATGAGAAGGAAGAAAAAACAGGCTTGACTCTTAACATGTTAATAATGTACTTATTAATGCACTTAAGTACAATACAAGAGTTTATTCGTGTTTAAGTGTTTAGTGGAATGTTGGAGATCTTTGGTATAGTTTAAGGTTGTGAATCTCTAAATAGATGTAAAATAAGCAAAATAAGGAAAGGGCCAAAAGTGACTGAGAACATTTAAAGACAGACTGACGAAATCTGTCTAAAGATTGCTAGAGTTCAGTTAAATTAAATAAAGAAATAATTTTTGTATTCGCTTAAATATTTTCATTCAGATTTTATAACACATTTAAGTTTATATAGCACATCTTATAGTTTTCGTTAAAATACGGCATATAGGAAACAATGTAAAGTCTTATTTTTTATATAACAGTGGTGCTAAATCTATTTTTCCGGATACACCTGTTTCACCACTGCTGGAAGATCATTCCCTCCCTTCTTTTACAAAGTCGAAAAACACATATACATTTATTTGGATTATTTTTTAACTTGATTAACAAATTAAGCCTCAAAAAGTATAGAAAAATGTTGGTAAATACGAAAACATGAATAAAAGTAGATTTTAATGAACTAAAACTAAATATTTAACAGCTAAATTAAAAGTTGAGCGAATTTCCTAAATGTACCATGCACATGCGATTTGAAAATTTCAGTTATACCTGTACAGAAGTCATATTTTTCTAGTGTTGTGGTTTGCATGTTCATTTGATGCTTCCCAACTGGAAAAATTTGATTAATCGCGTGAAACTACCTCTGCTTTCGCACGCGAAGTTTGGCAACTTATCGAATCTGTATAGCTAGTATAATTTACGTGCATACCCAACACTCCATATTCTTACGCCAGACCATATAATAGTGATAGTTCCACTTATTCATTCTGGCTACCTAAGATTACGACCATTTTTATATTCTTCATTCTTACAGAGATATTTTTGCAATTAGTTCATCCTCGTAACATAAGTTATATCGTTAATAAAATACCAGTCCTGCGTTTTGCCTTTCCAGTGTATATTACACGTAAACACAAATTCTGTCTTAAGACTCTTTACCATTAGCCCCTAAGGTCACGACTCTGACCAGAACGAAACAGAGCCTATCTATTGTTTTCTGTAGATTGGCAACGGCTGTATCGGCTCTGACGCCAACCTTGCTCCTAGAGTGAGAAAAGCTTACATGAATTTTTTCATTGTTTGTAGTTTTTGTTTAAAATATAATTTATAGTATAACAAACTGTAGGTACAGCTCCAGTTTTCGAGTATTATGGGTTCAGATTTGAGAAACACAGATCTGCTAAATCCTTTTTTTTTTTTTTTTTAATAGAACGCCTTTCTAAAGAATAAAATTTACTTTTGTCTTAAACAAGCATTCAAACCAACTTTTGTAGCAGACGAAACTTTTTCTATTCTTAGATTATGCCCCTTTGATGTTTCATAAAAGGAACATCACTTGAGACCTTAAAAAATAAATCTTTCCCTAAAGGATAATTAATTTTTTATTTATGCAAATCAGTAGTCTACATGTAATCAAAGATCATAAAATACTTTTATGAAACATAAAGCTCTTTCATGAAACCGAATTTCATCAGAAGAATTTCTGTTTGGAAAATTTAGAAATTATTGAACCGGAAACAGGTCCACATCGTTTCATCGTCATCACTAATCGGTATTTGTGTCTCGTTTTCCCGTCCTTCTTGTTCGTCCTGCCGCTGCACTGGGATCTTGTGCTTATAAGGAGAAAGTTGACATTTAATTATGTCATTCAAAAATCGTAAGTATTTTAAATTGTACTGATATTTATATATATTAGATCCTATACTATAGATCTGTATGTGTAAAGAAATAATATCTGCTATCCTATGTGGGTGGTATCATATGGATCAAGATAAGTACAAATTTTTCTTTCTTTTTTTTTTTTTTAAATAAATATTTGCAAAATAATTTGCACTTTTATTGTATTGAATAGAAAATTTCAAGAAGGCTTTTGTTTTCACCTCTGGGTTGAAATACTAATCTTAATATTTTAATCGACCTACAAATATATAAGAGAATATAGTTATTTGTAAATATGATGTGCCGGTTAGTTCGTTCATCAGGTAGGTTATCATTTATATATAAGCCACATAGTAAACATGTTCATGAATTTCGCTGCTAGTTTATTTTATCTAAAGTTGCTGATGTGTAATTTGTTTTCAACTATTACTATTTACGATTTTTTTTTTTTTTTTTTACGTGAACAAGTTTCACCTATTTGGAGTTTAAAAAAGAGCAGTTTTCTTTTGATTGAAATTTTCATAAATATTTGATTGATTGATTGCATAACAGCATTGAACCTTCTGTAAATCTGGAAATTCAGTCTGTATCAGTATTCAGGAAGTGCACACGAACTTATCCATTTTCCAATTGCAAATGCTCATATTTATTCATGTGCTGTATTTATGCAAGGATAAATCTCAAATATTCAGCTAATTTAACTTAATCAGACTGAAAAATAGACTGTGTGTGACATGTCAACAAATGAATAAAACCTGTCATTATATTATTATTTGTTAAGGATATTAAGAGCAATACAGTCACATTTCTCACTGTCTAATCATTATATGTTACATTGCGCAGCATATATAGCAAATCGAATAGCCTTGCGTTGACCCATCAGCGACTGGAGTTGTAAAACGCTGGTAATTGAATTTGGTTCTCAGTATTTGAAAAAGGTAGACTATAGTGACTAAGTGATCGATTTGCAGCTTGGGGTAAAGTGCAGAATTGCCCACTTATTTGTTTGGTGCTTTTTATAAGAGTAAAAAGACTTGGATTTTTGTCTAAATTATTTGGTGACTTTCTGCTTGTGCCCAGCTAACCGAAAAGTGCCACATTTTTCATGTTATATAGAAAAGACATTATGCAGATTAAGAATATTCTAAGGTGGTCTGTCTGTCATATGTAGATAGATACCTTTAGAGAGGGTCGAGAAGACATACATCGGCTTTCAAAAGTGTTGATTGTAGAAAAAACCCTGAATAAAAGAAGCGCGCCGTATCCTAGAATTTGAATATAAAGCTCAGTATTTTTTTATATCATCTACATGTGATTTGGAATAAAACCAAACTGGTAAAAATATATTTACGGTGCCACTTGGCAGAAATTGGCGATTTTTGGCAGTACATGGACACCGAGTTTGTGCAATTCTTTGACCTGTTATTTTGACTTTGTGTAATGGTGATTTTTGTGCACAAACTTATCATTGTGCACTCCCTTGACTTTGTCCATGTATACATCGATCTATTTTCACTTAAAAAGTCAAAAGAGCTCCATCTCTATACTAGAGCCAAACAAAAAATATATAATCTCAATCAACTACATTTTAAATCAAACAATGAAATAACATAGAAAAAGAAATTCATCTTATAGCATCTAAGCACTACACAAAGGAAATAGCCACTTACCTTATTTAGAAATTTCTGTCTTCAGTCTATGGCACACAAAATTCCTTAATAGCATCCATTAAAAATAAGGTAAGAAGAGGTGGTCTGGCAAAGTTAATTCAATGTGATCAGAGATTTATCATTAGAAAATTTATGAAAAGTCCACCTTTGAGTGCTGTAAAGATTTCTGCAGAATTTATTGAAAAATTTTCTGCTTCAATTTCACCTGATACTGTTCAATGAGTACTCAGATAAGCTGGATTACATATGCACTCTGCTGAAAGAAATTTTTGGTAAATATAAAAATATAAAGCTTAGGCTTTCCTTCACAAAATCAATGGTAAATAACCCTGAAGTATACTGAAATCATGTCTTATTTGCAGATGAAAGCAAATTTAACACTTTTAGTTCCGATGTACATATAATTGTGTGGAGGGGAGACAATGAACTTAATCCCAAAATTTTGGTTAGAGCAGTTAAGTGCGGTGTGAAGGTGTTCTTGTGTGGGGGTGCATGTCAGCATCAGGGTTAGGTAATTTAATAGTTATTAATGGCATAATTAACCATGCCCTTTATATAAATATTTTAGTAAAAAGCGTGTCCCGTGGCAAAAATTAGCAATTTTTGAAGGCTAGCCTGCAAGGCATAATTTGAAGATGGCGACTACACAAAACCAAAATAACAAATCAAACAATTGCATAAACTTAGTGTCTATATACACATTGATCTATTTTCACTTTAAAAAATCAGAGAATTGCACAAACTTGGCATTGTGCACTCCCTTTACTTTGTCCATGTACACATCCATCTATTTTCACTTAAAAAAATTCAGGAGAATGATAACGTCATACAATGTTAAAACAAAGTTACTCATAATCAAATCTGAACAAATTGTGTAGCCAATCGAAGTTCAATAAACTGCATTTTAAATCTCACAATGAAATAAAATAAAAAAGGAAATGCATGTTATCGTATATATGCACTACAAAAAGGAAGTATCAACTTACCACATTTAGAAATTTTTGTGTCTTTAGTCTGTGGCACACAAAATTCCTTAACAGAATCTAAAAAACTTTCAAGAATTATCTGAACTAGAATATGCTTATTGTTGTCACCACATAAATTTAAAAAATACGAGTAAAAAATATCCTCCGTAGTGCTGGACTCTCGGTGGCATTTCTTGCATGAACCTTTCTTGCAACAAATCCATTCAAAGCCATCCGAACGATCTTTACGTTCGACTATATGCATTTCCTTCATACAAACAGGATGCTTATAATGACTACTAAGTAAATCTTCATTTACACATCAATGAATGCTTTTTTTCCCTTTCGATCCAAATCATTTCGAAACTTTGGATTAATTTCATCACACAGCCATTTTACTGTGTACAGCACAAAATAAGCAACATACTTTCTTACTGACATCCAACGCAGAAATATGCCCCTTACAAATATTTTCCCATCAGTTTTTCCATCATCCACTTTTCCATTTTGGCGGTAAATGAAACAACTTGGCTATAATCCAAGGGGCATTCTAAAATATAGACTAACCAATATTTTGAAAGATAATTTAAAATTATCTGCCCAAACTTTAGATATTGGAAACAACTTTATTTTTTATCAGGATGGTAATCCTAAGCTCACTGCCCTCAATGTTCATCTTTAATGTGTCTATAATTGTCTATAAGTTCTAAAAACATTACCTCAGTCACAAATTTAAAAACAATAGAATACATTTGGAGAGAATAAGAATTTGAGTTTGAAGACGCATTTAAATGAAAATCAAACAATGGTAATGATGGAAGAAGGGAGTGAGGCAGATATTACAAAAATAAAAACTGGGAAACTCTATGCCGAGATGTTTGAAAGTTGTCATAAATCCTGCAGGATATCCTACAAAATACTGACAGAAATATTTCAATATTTACTAAATGCAGACTTCTTTAAAGTGTACGAAGACTTTTGTGAGATAACTTTTCTATTAGGTCTTGATTATTGATTAAAAAAATGTCATGTTCATAAAATAATTAATGTAGTTTTGCTAAGAAAAAATTATCTTCTTCTTCATAAGCTCCACAGCCTGTTACAGGCCAAGGCTGTCTCTCCAAGTTTCCTACGCCTGACCCCATTCGGCGCAGTAGTCTTTCATTGGTTAACTGCAATTAACCTTAAATTTTGCTCGACATCATCTGTCCATCTAGTGGGTGGTCTTCCTTTTCATCTTACTCCCTCTGTGCTCGAAAAGGTAATCTTTTTGGTTGGAAATGCATCATCATATCTAAACACATGGCCCAGCCATCTGATGCGAGATGCCTCAATATCAGTTTACCATATTTCCAATATTTTCCATATAGTTCATGATTATAGAGAATCCTTCACATACCATTTTGTTGTATCAGTCCAAAGATCTTTCTTAGGATTTTTGTTTCAAAAGTTGATATCAGGTCTTTCTCTGCTCTGTTAAGTGTAAGAAAAATTTATAAATATTATTAAAAAATTCTCATCCTCAAATTTTATTAATGAGTAAAGCAATATTTCACTGAAATTTGTAAGTGTACAAACACTTGGGAGCTACTGTAGGTGGGAATTTAAAGGTGTCAGAATTGTGTCCAGCTGTCACTGTGGATTTCTTCAAGCTGCAGCAGAAACTCTGTCATTGGTTTGTTGTTCGACAGCAGGAGCTCTTTCGTCACTTTCTCTAACTTTATTTTCAACTGTGTTTATTCTACCTATCATAGTTTTGAATTTGTTTTCTGTAATGGCAGTAATTTCTCGTTTCATTTCCTCTTGATCTCTTCAGTATTTTACTGAACATTTTTCATATCTTCTTTAATGGATTCTTGGCCAACTTTCATCCCTGCTTTAAATGCAGCAAAGGCTGTTATAAGTTGCCTTAGTTGCTTCTCCATTAGTCTTGTCACTGGCATTCAACCCCACTTCTAACACTAAACATTTTTATCAACATACAGGTTCATAATGGATTGAATGCTGATGATAGCTTGATGAAATTAATTTTTGCAAAAAAAGAAACTCATCATTTCAGGAAATCTTCACACAGAAGTACTCTTACCACTTTTCCTGATATAACAGAGCCCAGTGGGTAGTTATAACTTCAAACTACTAAGAACATTGAACACAAGGCAGTATAGAAAAAAGCCCCAGCCTGCACAGTTATATCTGAGTTAAACTTTGAATTAAACTGAAACCTGATGCTGTCTCTGGTCTTAATACAAAGTCCGAAATCCGGACTTCAAAACCACCAGAAATGTTTTTCTCGTAGGCTTTACGTTTACACATTTCATTCCCCCCTCCACGCATAATAAAACATCTGGAGAGTCCTGATTCTT